CTTACCGTAACCTAGCTGCCATTAACCTAGCTACCCTAACCTACTCTTACCTTAACCTACCTTACCTTAACCTACCTTACCTTAACTAGCCTACCCTAACCTACCTTACCTTAACCTAGCTTACCCTAACCTACCATAATCAGAACCATAACTTCCTGACTACACTTATAACTAAATATAACATAACTTCTAAGCATGTATAGACAACATACCCTGGGTATGACTGCTTAAACATTAGCACACTAACTGCTTAGATATCAACAAAAAAATACCACGGGTGCGGTTAGAACCCGCGATCAGAGTCACAAAACTCCAGACCGTGGGTTCTATCCCCGCCGTCTGGAGTTCACAGTCGAGTTGACATCCAGGAACCATTACGTGTCTGTGTAACCTTCAGGATGGCTATGTATACCAAGGCTATATAATAAATACTGTTAAACGAACGTGTTTTCCCTGCCTGTCATAATAATAATAATAATAATAATAATAATAATAATAATAATACCTATATTTACTAGCAGTACATGACAACTTATACAGACCATAGCTCACACCAATGACATTTCTATTATTTAGTAAGTTCTTGTTATGCGAGCATTCCCCGTAAACTGTATGTCAGTTTTGTCCAGGATGTGACACCCAAGTCACTAACACCCAGGTGTGACCACACCTGTCCACTAACACCCATAGGATGTTGACCCACACCACGTCCTAACACCCAGGATGTGACCCACCCAGTCCACTAACACCAGGATGTTGACCCACTCCAGTCATAACACCCAGGGATGTGACCCACACCAGTCCACTATCACCCAGGATGTGACCCACACCAGTCACTAACACACAGGATGTGACCCACACCAGTCCACTAAACTCCTGGATGGGACCCAACCAGTCCAGAAACACCAGGATCGGACCCAACAGTCCACTAACACCCAGGATGTGGACCCACACCAGTCACTAACACCCAGGATGCCACCCACACAGTCACTAAAACACCCAGGATGTGCCCCACATCCGTCCACACTAACACCCTGGATGCAACCCACACACAGTCAAAATAACACCCAGTTGCCACCATCACCAGTCCACTAATACCAGGATGCCACTCACACCAAGTCCACTAACACACAGGATTGCACCCCACACCGTCCACTAACACCCAGGATGCCACCCACACCAGTCCACTAACACCCAGGATGTGACCCACACCAGTCCACATAACACCCAGGATGTGACCCACACCAGTCACTAACCACCCAGGTGCCACCACAACACAGTCCACTAACACCCAAGGATGCCTCCCACACCAGTCCACTAACACATGGATGCCACCACACAGTCCACTATCCCCAGGATGTGTCACACACCAGTCCACTAAACACCAGGATGTGACCAGCACCAGATCCACTAACACCCAGGATGCCACCACACCAGTCCCCTAACACACAGGATGCCACACACACCAGTCAATAACACCAGGAGTGACCCACACCAGTCTCTAACACCCAGGATGCACACAACCAGCACCACTAACGCCAGGATGCACCGAACCAGTCCACTAAACACAGGATGTGACCCACACGTCCACTAACACCCAGGATGGCACCCACACCAGTCATAAACACCAGGATGCCACCCACACCCAGTCACTAAACATGGATGGCAACCCACACAGTACACTAACACCAGGATGCACCCACACCAGTCCACTAACACAGGATGCCACCCAACCAGTCACTAAACACCCAGGATGCCACCCACACCCAGTCCACTAACACACAGGTACCTATTTTTACTAGGGAAACACAGACAACCGGTTTGTAAGAAAACACGCCTCAATATTTCTACCCTCTCCTGGGAATCGAACCTGGACCTTTTGCCGTATGAAGTGAGAGCTTTAGCCTACGCGGCACCGTCATTGTTGCAATTCATTCAGGCGCCGAGTAACGACGTTTCGACCTACACTGGACCGCCATAACGACGCTTCGGTCAACGATGCTTCGCTATACACAGGCGGTATTAAACAAAACCTACTGCGCTGCCAGAAGACGTGTTGAAAATACATGACATACAATTATTTACAGCAAATATTTCATAATAATAAACAACTATGTTACTGGTTTATGTATTTACTATACCATACTTTTTATCGTTATTCTAGAGTGTACTCTTTCAACTTACAAAAAAAAAAACAGTGTACTGTAAAACAGTATGGGCTGCTACGCCGGCAGCCTAATACCTCTGTTTATTTCCGTATTTCCTAAAATAGATTAAGAGAGGACGTGAAGAGAGACATGAGCATATATTTACTAATTTTTTTTGTAAATGCTATTGAAAAAAACGTATCTGAAATTTCATAGCACGTAAAAAGAGGTGTATAATATGGAATGGGGCAGGAGACGCAACATTCCCCCAATGAAAAGCAGGGGTGCCACTAGCATGGTAAGAGACAACACAATAAGTGTCAGGGGTCCAAGACTGTTTAACTACCTCCCAGCATACACAAGGGGGATTACCAATAGGCCCCTGGTTGTCTTCAAGGACACTGGTTTCTTCAAGGACTCCTGGTTGTCGTTCAAGACCCTGGCTTTCTTCAAGAACCCCTGGTTTGCTCATGACCCTGTTGTCTTCATATCCCTGGTTGTCGTCAAGACCTGGTTGTTTAACCTGGGAGTTTTACTGGAGAGGAGTTTCGGGGGTCAACGCCCCCGCGGCCGGTCTGTGACCAGGCATCCTGGTGGATCCAGCGCCACCTGATCAACCAGGCTGTTAGCTGCTGGCTGCACGCAAACACGTTCGAGACACAGCCGGCTGATCAGGAACTGCCATTAGGTGCTTGTCCAGTGCCGCTTGAAGACTGCAGGGGTTTGTTGGTAATCCCCCTTATGTGTGTGGGAGGCAGTGGAACAGTCTCGGTCCCTGACATATGGTATGTCTCCTTAACGTGCTAGTGACACCCCTGCTTTTTCTTTGGGGGGATGGTTGCATCGTTGCCAGTCTTTTGCTTTCGTATGTGAGTGATTTTCGTGTGCAAGTTCGGTACTAGTCCCTCTAGGATTTTAAGGTGTATATAATCATGTATCTCTCCCTCTGCGTTCCAGGGAATACAGGTTTAGAACCTCAAGCGCTCCCCAATAATTGAGGTGTTTTATCTCCGTTATGCGCGCCGTGATGAAAGTTCTACTGTACATTTTCTAGGTCTGCAATTTCACCTGCCTGAAAGGTGCTGTTAGAGTGCAGCAATATTCCAGCTTAGATAGAACAAGTGACCTGAAGAGTGTCATCTATGGGCTTGGCACTCCCTTAGTTTGAAGGTTCTCATTTGATCCACTCCTGTCATTTTTTCTAGCAAAGATGCCTCGATGATAGATCCAATGTTATGGTCCTTGAAGGTTGAGATCCCTCCGACTAATCACTACCAGGTCTCATTTGACGTTGGACGTCAAGTCCCCTGGTTGTCTTCGTGACCCCCAGGTTGTCTTTCAAGGGGGTAGGGGGGGGACCCCCCCCCCCCCTGGTTGTCTTCAAGGCCCTGGTTAGTCGTCAAGAACTGGTTGTCTTCAAGGCCCCTGGTTGTCGTCATAGACACTGGTTTGTCTTCAAGGACCCCATGGTTGTCTTCAGGCCCCTGGTTCGTTCGTCAAGACCCCTGGTTGTCTTCAAGGACCCATGTTGTTTTCTAAGAACCCCTGGTTGTCTTCAAGACCCATGGTTGTTTTAAAGGACCCCTGGTTGTCTTCAAGACCCTGAACTGTCGTCATGACCCCTGGTTGTCTTCAAGACACCCTGGTTATCTTCAAGACCTGGTGGTCTTCAAGACCCTGGTTGTCTTCAAGACCCCTGGTTTGTTTTTTTCTTCAAGGCCCCCTGGTTGTTCTTCATGACCCATGGTTGTCTTCAAGACCTGGCTGTCTTCAAGGATACCCTGGTTTGTCTTCAAGACCTGGTTGTCTTCAAGACCCCCAGGACTGTATCATAGGCATCTGTTGTCTTTCAAGGCCCCTGGTGTCTTCAAGGACCACCTGGTTATCGCTTCAAGGACCCTGGATGTCTTCAAGACCCATTGGCTGTCGTCAAGATCCTGGCTGTCGCAAGACCACCAGGTTGTCACTCATGACCCTGGCTTATCTTCAAGACCCCTGGTTGTCTTCAATGACCCTGGTGTCTTCGAAGACCACCTGGCTGTCTTCATGATCCATGGGCTGTCTTCACGACCCCTGGCTGTCTTCAAGGACCCTGGTTTTTCTTCAAGACCCCTGGTTGTTCGTTTCAATTCCCCTGGTGTCTCAAGACCCCTGGTTGTATTCAAGACCACTGGCTGTCGGTTCAAGACCCCTGGCTGTCTCCAAGACCCCTGGCTGTCTTCAAGGCCCCTGGTTGTCTTCAAGACCCTGGTTTTCTTCAGATCCCTGGTGTCTTCAAGCCCTCTGGTTGGTCTTCACAGGTCATGGCTGTCCTTCAAGGCCCTGGTTGTCCTCCAAGGACCCTGGCTGTCTTCATGACCCTGGCTGTCTTCAAGGACCCCTGGTCTGTCTTCATGACCTGGCTGTCTTCAAGAACCTGACTGTCTTTCATGAATCCACTGGCTGTCTTTCAGACCCTGGCTGTCTAAGACCCCTGGCTGTGTTCAAGACCTGACTAATCTTCAAGAAGGTGTGACAGATTACCTTAACCCAGTACCTGATCAGCCGGACTGCGAATTCCTACGTCGGTTTCATGGGGCTACAGTAGCAGCTGGTTAATCAGACCACCTTGATCACCACGAGGCCTGGTCACAGACCGGCCGCGGAGGCGTCGACCCCAGAAAGCCTATCCAGGTATATCCAATTCTTCAAGGTGGTGAAGCAGTGAATAGCTAAGACTACTATGCTGGATCACTGCTGGAAGCTAATATACAAGCTGGTAGATCTTAAGACTACGGGGATTTATGAGACAGATAGGCTATCTTAGATAAGATATCAGGTGAAGGTAATTACCTGGAGATAGGAGTAAGGGTGGTGGGTGGAAGGCGTCTATAAGGCTCCACCTCTCCCAGTGTACTTCGCACCTTTGCCTGGTACCTGCACCTTTGCCCGGTATCTGCACCTTTGACCTCTATAGGTTTTCGGGTAAGTTGCTTTCGTCACACCAACCCAGACACAACACACGTCTCTGGCTCACAATGGAAAGGACACGGGTTCGATTCCTTGATGTATGGGAGCAAATCCCTTTGCACCTGATGCCAAGGTGTTAGTTGACTGTTGTAGGTGCAGTTTACAAGTGGTGAGACGTTTGGGACAGTCTCCTAACACCTGCTGCCCCTGTAAAATACCAGTAAATAGGTACTTGGAAGTTAGTCACATGTTGTGGGTCGCATCCTGGGTAAAGAGGAACTAACGACCCCAACAGAAATAAGACACACTGGCTTATTAACCTCTCCCACTGCCAAGAATAAGCCACACTGCTACACCTCCAACCACTGTATACAACCCCCCAAAAAATGGCGGCAAACGAAAAATAGTCCAGGACCCCAATGGGTCCTGGTTACCTGGAGTTTACCTGGTTATCCCAGGTTGTCTACACATATACTGCTATGTATAATAAGACTTAAGAAATCGTAATGAAACGATTTATTTGCAATCGTGTCATTACGATTTCTTAAGTCATGTTGACGGCAGTGAAGGGACTTGAGCTAGAGTTCGTCACGGCCACGCTAGCTGGAGATTCGTCTGTAAAAACTTGCATTTGTGGTCACAGAGGTGCCTGTGCTAACTTTCCTATGGTGTAGAAATATACCTAGTTGGATGAATCTTATTGTGGCTAGCTGGTCTAGTGGCTAGCGCGACGGGCTGGAGTTTTGAGACTCTATGACCGCGGGTTCAATCCCGGCCGGGGGTATGGTTGATGTATAATAATCTATGTATCTGTATACCTGAATAAGCTTCCAGTAACTTATAAACACTGGAAGGAGTTCTGTAACAATTATATATACGTGTGTGTCTGTGTGTGTACTCACCTAATTGTACTCTCCTAATTGTGGTTGCAGAGGTCGAGACTCAGCTCCTGGTCCCGCCTCTTCACCGAGTGCTACTAGGTCCTCTCTCTCCCTGCTCCATGAGCTTTATCATACCTCATCTTAAAGCTATGTATGGATCCTGCCTCCACTACATCACTTCACAGACTATTCCACTTCCTGACAACTCTGTGACTGAAGAAATACTTCCTAACATCCCTGTGACGCATCTGTGTTTTCAACTTCCAACTGTGACCCCTTGTTGCTGTGTCACATCTCTGGAACATCCTGTCTTTGTCCACCTTGTCAATTCCTCGCAGCATTTTATATGTCCTTATCATGTATCCCCTGACCCTCCTGTCCTCCAGTGTCGTCAGGCCAATTTCCCACAACCTTTCTTCGTAGGACATACCCCTTAGCTCTGGAACTATCCTTGTTGCAAACGTTTGCACTTTCTCTAATTTCTTGACGTGCTTGACCAGGTGCGGGTTCCAAACTGGTGCTGCATACTCCAGTATGGGCCTGACGTACAAGGTGTACAGTGTCTTGAACGATTCCTTACTAAGGTATCGGAACGCTATTCTCAGGTTTGCCAGGCGCCCATATGCTGCAGCAGTTATCTGGTTGATGTGTGCCTCCGGAGATATGCTCGGTGTTATACTCACCCCAAGATCTTTCTCCTTGAGTGAGGTTTGCAGTCTCTGGCCACCTAGACTATACTCTGTCTGTGGTCTTCTTTGCCCTCCTCCAATCTTCATGACTTTGCATTTGGCGGAGTTAAATTCGAGAAGCCAGTTGCTGGACCACGCGTCCAGTCTGTCCAGGTCTCTGAAGTCCTGCCTGGTCCTCATCAGATTTAATTCTCCTCATTAACTTCACATCATCTGCAAACAGGGACACTTCTGAGTCTAACCCTTCCATCATGTCGTTCACATATACCAAAAATAGCACTGGTCCTAGGACCGACCCCTGTGGGACCCCGCTCGTCACAGGTGCCTACTGTGTGTGTGCGTGTATGTGTGTGTGCTCACCTAATTGTAGTTGCAGAGGTCGATTCATAGCTCCGGGCCCCGCCTCTTCACTGTGTTAATCGTTCATTTAGAAATACTTATCATCTATTTAGACCTAGTTATCATGCACTTAGACCTAGTTATCATGCATTTAGACCTAGTTATCAAGCATTTAGACCTAGTTATCATGCATTTAGACCTAGTTATCAAGCATTTAGACCTAGTTATCATGCATTTAGACCTAGTTATCATGCATTTAGACCTGGTTATCATGCATTTAGACCTAGTTATCAAGCATTTAGACCTAGTTATTAATCATTTAGACCTAGAGAGTACTGGTGACCTCAAAACAATACCTGGAGTATACCTGGAGAGGATTTCAGGGGTCGACGCCCCTGCGGCCCGGTCGGTAAGCAGGCCTCGTGGTGGATCAGAGCCTGATTAACCAGGCTGTTACTGTTGGCCACACGTAAACCGACGTAGGAATGACAGCCTGGCTGGTCAGGTACTGATTTTAGGTGACTTTCCAGCACCTTCTTGAAGACTGTCAGAGGTCTATTGGTAATCCCCCTTATGTATGCTGGGAGGCAGTTGAACAGTCTTGGACCCCTGACACTTATTGTATTGTCTCTTTGCCTATAAGAAATACTACCATGATTTTTAAAGGGGGTGGAGGGGTAAGCCAGTGGAAGGCCTCGGTCAGATGACCAAAAGCTCCAGCTGTGGGCCATCACATAACTAAGACCAGGGTCAGGCAACACTTGTCCTGTTTCCTGACAAACCTAACCTAACCTAACTACAAGTCTAGGTCTAGCACTCGCAGGCAACAAGGACAAACACTCAACTCACACACTGAGGTCCGTGGTTCGATCCCCGGTAAGGGTGGAAACATTAGGACGTGTTTCCTTAAGACACCTGATGTCCCTGTTCACCTAACAGTAAGTAGGTACCTGGGTGTTAGTGGACTGGTGTGGGTCACATCCTGGGTGTTAGTGGACTGGTGTGGGTGGCATCCTGGGTGTTAGTGGACTGGTGTGGGTCACATCCTGGGTGTTAGTGGACTGGTGTGGGTCACATCCTGGGTGTTAGTGGACTGGTGGGGGTCACATCCTGGGTGTTAGTGGATGGTGTGGGTCACATCTGGGTGTTAGTGGACTGGTGTGGGTCACATCCTGGGTGTTAGTGGACTGGTGTGGGTACATCCTGGGTGTTAGTGGACTGATGTGGGTCACATCTGGGTGTTAGTGGACTGGTGTGGATCACATCCTGGGTGTTAGTGGACTGGTGTGGGTCACATCCTGGGTGTTAGTGGACTGGTGTGGGTCACATCCTGGGTGTTAGTGGACTGGTGTGGGTCACATCCTGGGACAAAATGACATAATTTACGGGAAATGCCTCAACATAACAAGTGACTTTCTATATAGTAGTATGTCATTGTTGTGAGCTATGGTCTGTATAAGTTGTGTCAGGTACTGCTAGTAAATATACATATTATTATTATTATTATTATTATTATTATTATCATCAAAAGAGTGGCATGATGGTGAGAGATGTCTGGAAAGTATAAAGAATGAGAGATAACGAGATACAGGTGATAAGAGAGAGTGAGATATTACGTTAGTGTCTTCTGGGTGGCTGGTATCTCCCAGCCTCACCACTGCTGCCTTACACCATGCTTATATATACCAGATACCATGTATCACCACCATCACTACCATCACCACAACAACCATTACCACCATCCTCACTACCACCATCATGTGTGTATATATATATATATACACTGGGGATACATGGCTGTCAGTGTATACTAGTCACTGACAGGTACGTATAATTTGTCAGGAAACAGGACAAGTGTTTCCTAACGCTGGTCTTAGTCATATAATAACCCACAGCTGGAGATTTCGGCCATCTGACCGATACCTTCCACTGGCTTACCCATCCACCCCTTTAAAAATCACTGACGGGTACATAATCTTGTATTTATGTGTGCTGGAGCACATCCATGGTCTGGCCCCTACCTACCTACCTACCTGTAAACACCCTCTCTCTCTCTCTCTCTCTACCTCTCTCCCTCTCTCTCTCTCAGCACACCAGCTCACTCATTCACTATATATTATACAAGTAGTGAACATTGAACTGTGGGAGAGAGGTGATGCAGGTGCCAGTGATTGAACTTAAAATACTTTCTCCCAGGTAAATATACCCACACATATCCCACCTTCATTATGTACCTCATACCCATCCTGTGGGTGGTAGTCAGCACATTACACTGGTACATAATGCGTCCAGGGACTGTATCTCAACACTACAGAGGTACATAATGGGTCTAGGTACAAGGTACAAAGGTAATAAACTTCAGTCTGTGTCTGAAGGAACTTTACGGAGATGGTAGGGGCACTCACCTCCACATTTGAGGTTCGGGGATCGATCCCTGGTACGGGGGGAAAGGTATTTTTTAAGACCCCTGCTGTCCATGTTCACCTAGCAGTAAAATAGGTACCTGGGTTTTAGGGACTGGTGTGGGGTCACATTACTGGGTGTTAGTGGACTGGTGTGGGTCACATACTGGGTGTTAGTAGACTGGTGGGGTCACATCCGGGGTGTTAGTGGACTGGTTTGGGTCACACCCTGGGTGTTATGGACTGGTTTGGGTAACATCCTGGGTGTTAGTTGATGGTGTGGGTCACTTTCCTGGGTGTTAGTGGACTGGTGGGGGGTCACATCCTGGGTGTTAGTGGACTGGTGTGGGTCACATCCTGGGTGTTAGTGGACTGGTGTGGGTCACATCCTGGGTGTTAGTGGACTGGTGTGGGTCACATCCTGGGTGTTAGTGGACTGGTGTGGGTCACATCCTGGGTGTTAGTGGACTGGTGTGGGTCACATCCTGGGACAAAACTGACATAATTTACGGGAAATGCTCAACATAACAAGTGACTTTCTATATAGTAGTATGTCATTGTTGTGAGCTATGGTCTGTATAAGTTGTGTCGTGTACTGCTAGTAAATAAACATTATTATTATTATTATTATTATTATTATTATTATTATTATTATTATGATTATTATTATGTCATTGGTGTGACGTGTTGGAGCGGAAAATGAG